TTAGTAAGGTTCATTTGACCTTCATTTTCCAAATTCCTCATAATAATTTTTCCTTGCTATAACATTTTTTTTTCACTTCTCAAGACTCTTTCCTATATACTTAATGTTTCTTTCTTTTTAAATTCTTATTCCAAAGAAGAAAATTTCTTAAATTTCTTAAAGCATATTAAATTTTATTTGTCTTGAAGGTTCTCTGTGATTTAAATTGTTTCTGTATCCTTCAAATTTGTTATGCATTTTGTTTACTTATAGCCTTGAAACTTTATATTGAAAGATCTCTCAAATGCCTGGGAATTCTAGGCTGCCATTCATACTTATGAATAAAGTAATGAAATACTGACATCAAGTTCTACTATAGAGAAGGACTTGCTAACATATAGTTCCCAGTTGTATACTGGGATCCAGTACCAGTTCTCTTTCTTCTGTTTCTAAATCTCCAGATTATAATTGCTGTCTGTTTTTCTGAGGGAAACTATAGCAGGCAGCTTTCTTGGAACTCCAGCAAGGGAAGATAGGTTTGTTAATAATGTTCGGGATACAAACTGCCACAGGACCCTTTGCGGTACAGCTTTGGCATCCTTATGCTAAACCTATTAAACAAAAGAAAACAGAGTATACCCAGTAACCAGATGGAGCTTGGAGCTTGGAAATACAAGATTATTTCCATTTTTCATATCAAAAGTCATTCATCTGAAAGCCATGTCTGTAAATTGGTATTATCCACGTCAGAATAGGATATTTTTATTAGTACTTAGTATTTATCACTATAAGTGCATAGCTGAGATAAAACATAAGTGACATATCTTAAATTTATTTGATTATTTATAACTTTCCTAAAATTTATTTTATTATTTATAAACTTGCTGATTTTGGCATAAAGTCCAATTATATGATTGACATTAATTAGAAAAATCGTTTTTTTAATCTTTGCTCTATATTCCCCAAATTATATTTTTATAAACTTCCTTCCCCTTTTACTACATTTAAAAAATGTTTTAATTGTAGATGGACAGAATGCATTTATTTTATTTGTTAATTTTTACGTGGTGGTGAGGACTGAACCCAGTGCCTCATGCATACTAGGCAACATATTTTATCTTTTTATAACTTTCTTTTCATTTTCCTTTTAAAATGTATCCTCATTAGTCTCAATGCTTTATATAAATTCAACATCACCCTTGTAAATTTGTTCCTTCATTTGTTTTCTAAACTTGTCACCATAAAGAGCAACAAAATCATTGAAACATGTTAAATGCAATGGCCTGATTTGGAAAATCATTTCTCTGATTTTAACTACCTTGTTTTTWAAAAAAAAACATTATGCCTTATTGTCCTCCTCTCAAAACAAGTGGATCTTTTGTAAGCTATAAAGATGGACTAAAGTTAAATAGCTTTCATAAGCATAATGGCTGCATTCTTCTAAATCAAAGAAATGAGACATTTTATTTGCTTGAGAAAGGCTCTTAGAATAAAATTGCCTTACTGAACTTATTCATCTTTTGACTGAATAGACTTTTTTCTACTTTTCATATTTTTCTTCTCTCTGTAGATGGGTTACTTATAGTCCCCAAATAAAACAGACCAAGAAAAAAAATAGTACATGAATGTAGAAACGTTTGTTTTACCTTAACTTTACTAACCAAAATTGTGCAGATAAATTTCAGTTAAAATAAATATTTTTTACTACAAATAAACACCTTAAAAATAAGTAACTTCTGCAACACATACAGAGATCATTTTCAAGTTGATSTTATAACATATTGGTTTTGGGCAAAATCGTACAAAGAGTGCTGTGACTACAGTTAATGAGTGTGTGATAATTTTAACTACAATTGTAAATATGAACTATACTTTAGAAAATCTAGATGGAGTGGTGCTTAATAATTAAGACAGCAACTTCAGCTTTAACAGAATTGGTCAAATCTTTGTCACTATGGTTTAATTAAAATTATTGTTGTTCTCTGAAATGCATTTTAATTTGAAGAAAAATGGGGGTTTACAGCACAAAACTATTTTAAAGATTAAGCAAACTTTTATACCCAGAGAATTTGATATAATACCTGGAACATAGGGAGCACTCAATGAATGGTTGCCATTATTATTTAAAAGCCATTCTAATATGTTTGATCAAAATGAGTGATACTGTATAAATCACAAACAAAATTAATTCAATTTACCACCCAAATCAGTTGCATTATCAATATTTATACTTGGAGCCAATAAAAGCAGCTAAACATTTAGACCTAGAGGAGGTAACATACTGAATTATTAATGTCTTTCTGTGGATGCAATAAAATAGAAAATGCCAAGAGTTTTGGGAAAGGAGTGTTCCTATTTTAAAGGTTAGAAAAAGGATTTAAAATGTGTGTTTATCTAGTCACTAGCAATAGCTTTCTTTCTACTATACTCAGAGGAATCACTTATTTAACAAGTATTCTTTGATTGCCTGTTATGCGCCCGGCTGTGTTTACCTACCATGCAAAAGGAAATGCCTCCTTTTTATGCTTGAATACTTTCCTTTTCCACAGACATTTCCACTGGGCCTGGGAGATGGGCAATTCTATTCATGGACAGATGGTTTGAGAAGAAAGGACTGGCATGACTATGAAAGCATTCAGAAAGAGGCTATGCGCTCAGGTATGAAGTTCAGTGTAAGCCAAAGTGCTACTTTACATACTGCAGTGTCTCCTTTGTCACTTATAGGGCCTTGAATTAGTGTTCCTTCTGCATACAGTCAAGTATGTCTCATGGGGTTGCTGGAGATCAACACAGGGCAGAACCAAAACAACTCAGAATTTCATAGAAAAACACAAATAATGAGCTGCAGAAAAGTCACTACAGGTTTAGAAATCTATAGGACTTTGTATTTCCAAACTTCATTTCAATAATTTCTGGGCTTTTCTTGAGACTTAGTCAATGAYGTGACCTGGTAAACGTGTGTTTTGAACAAGATTCACTCATTAGGGCTGAAGTGTATCTCACTGGCAATGCGAAGGACCTAAGAGTTAGCTAATTTCTAGACATTGCAAGGGGCTTCTGAGAATCCATAAATTATATCAGCTGGGTATCTGAGTTTGGCAACACGTGAATGAAAAGGCAGTTAAATGAAATCAAGGAGATCTGTACTACTGTAGGAGAATGCTAGTCTTGGGCTAGTGTTAGAGGACAGAGTAATAGGAAAAGAATCAGGGCTTTTGGAGATACTGAAAAATTAGGCTGATAGAAGAAAAGATTCAGAAGGATATATAAGTAGAAATAAAATGAACGTGAGTCACACATGGTAGGAAGCTCATATTCTATTATTTGTTTTTCATGATGAGAATGTCACAGAAATAGAGCAGCTTCTGCTTGGTAAAGATGAACAGTCTGAGACACTGCATCTGGGTTGAACCAGCAACACAGTTATGACTGCCTACACTGTGAGGTCCTCCTGGTTAGTCTCCAGCATCACTCTTTCCCTCAGGATAATTGAAACGAGTATGTTTAAGTAGTTGCAAAACTGTACATGGTACAATGTGTCAGGTATGGCTGACCTAATTACAATCTTTTTTCATTTTCTTCTTTCGTTCTTTTTCTCCAAATAAAGTTCACCACCCCACAACTTCATTAGCAGCTTGTTCCAAAGATATGCTCTGTTTTGAGAGATTCAACCTCTTCTGGGTGTCACTGTCTTTCCACTTGGACCATGACTCCACCTGTTATTATGAAATTTAGTTCCTTACCAGCTTCTTCACTCTTTCACCCTCTTGTGTTTTTGCCTCTGTTGGTTTGAAAACCCTATATTAATCCAACCATCTGTTTGTCTTTATGACTTCAAGATGCCAAAATTTTTATTGGAGATGTTAACTTTATCTCATAACTAAAGCTGCCACAAATTAACAACACTAATGAAAGAATCAAAAAAGATCATTGAATAGAGTTTTATACTATGAACTTCAGATATGAATTTTATTTAGACTTCAGAACAATTTYAGTAGGTATTATTATCCCAAWTTTTTATGCCAATAAAATAAAATTGAGTCCCTAAGAATTATTAACCTTTAGGCCGAATAGTTAATAATCTGTAGAACTAGATTAAGAGCCTGGTTTTAGGACTGTGGTTGTAGCTCAGTGGTAAGAGCACTTGCCTAGCACATGTGAGGCACTGGGTTTGATCCTCAGCACCTCATGAAAATAAATAAATAAAATAAAGATATTTTGTCCATCTACAACGAGAAAAAATATTTTTTTAAAAAGAGTCTGATCTTATACTGCTTCATTATACCCTCCTGTCTGACATCAAAACATAACATTTGGATAATAAGTGGTGATGACAGAGATACGTGGGAGACAGACACAACTAGTTTCAAATCTCAATTTTCTGTACATGAGCTAAGTGGCAAATCAATTTGTTTCTCATATTCTACTTTTCTGATTTTCCCAAAGGATTAAATATAATGTACCTAACATAATTGGCTAATGATTATTAATCCATATGATTATTAAACCATTTATTTTACTTTCACATCCCTTTTGCTTGTACTAGTGAGTTTTGGATATAAGATCTAGTACATTATTTTATTTTCTGCTTCATAAAACTCATACCAACTCCTGGATAAACACGCTTTTATATTCTTATCTTCACTTGGACCTAGGAAAAATCAATCTAAAAAGAAAATTGGTAATGTAGCAAGTTCTTCAGTACAAATTCCTTGTTCAATTGAAAAGCTTTTAAACGTTAGACTGTTAGATGATTAACTAGAAGATATATAAAACGTGCAATAAGTACACTTCACTGTTTTTATATCATTAACTATATTATAAATAAAAGTATTTTGAAATGTATATGTATGTGTGAATATACACAAACATATGTGAGTACAGAAGCAAAACAAAATAAACATCTTTTTATTCCATATGTAGGCCCAGAAATAATATCATTTGTGTCACTGTGTTCCCTTCAGAACTTAAATTTTGTGTTTACTCTAATTTTTATCTGTAGTTATTACCATCTGTGTATTTATCCCTAGACAAATACTGTCACAATCTGCATGTGTTTGAACTATATCTAAAAGTTGAATCATATCTTATTCTTCTTTCACTCAAAAAAATTTTGAGAGTCAGTGTGTGCAACACTGGTTTTATWTTTACTGTTGCTAAGCTTTCTATTACATTCTCCTCTTCTTGGACATTGGATAGTTTCTAGGTTTTAGTTCTCATATATAACACTCATGTAAACATTCTCATGCATAGTTCTGGGTTAAAGACAATATTTTCTTATGACATGTATTAATAGTCTGTTTGTATTTCCAGGGAATGCACATGTCAACTTCGGCCCAAAATTGCTATACGGATTTCACTTCAATAAAAAATTGATTGAATTCTCATTGCTCTATAACCTTCCCAACACTTCATAAGGTTTTAGTAATCTTTCCCAAGTTGTTGGTATGAAATGATACCTCATTGCCATTCATAATTGTATTCTACTAGTTTTTAATATGGTAACTTTCTTATTAATGCTTATAAATCAGTCATTTTTCCTTTTTAGTAAAATTTGTATTCATTTCTATTTCTCAATTTTTAATTTTTATCTCATCTTTACTGAGCTATATGGTGCTCTTAATTTATTCTGAATATTATTCTTTGGTGGTCATGTGTGGTAAGAATATCTTATATTTTTCAGAGAGTAAAGAAACTTTTTAGATAAAATTTTAAGAAATACGTCATAACTTTAGTGTTAAATTCAGAAATCATTTTTTAAGTATAGGTTCTACTGTGTTCTATATTGTCTTTTGAAAACTTGACAATTTTATACTTTCCATTTAAGTTTTAAATTCAACCTATCTTCATTATTATATGATGTAAGTCAGGGATCCAATATTTATTTAGATTTTATATGCTTGCATATTCAATCTTCCACAATGTTTACAGGAGATTTAATTTTTCCTTTTATTTATGGAAGTGTGGACTCGTATAAACTGTTTCCATATTTGCATGTTCTCTTTCTGAGTTCTTAATTCTGGTCTATAAGGAAAAATTCCTGTGCTAGTGACACCACAATACCTTTGAATATATTGACAATAATTATTGATGTTTATAGTATCACTCATCATTAGAAATGTATTGCCATTCTTGTTCTATTCTTCATATACCTTTCAGATTCAGCTTTAAATTTCTTATACACCTGGACTGGGGATGTAGCTCAGTAGTAAAGCACTTACCTACAATATGTGAGGCCCTAGCACTGTGAAGAAATATCACTCACAGATATACACCCAAAATAATGGAAATTGTAGAAGTGTATAGATAATTTCATTATTTATATTTACTAATATCAAATTTTCTATTCTGTGACATGTCATATTTATTTGCTGCCTATTTATTATCTTTAGGATAGGGCTATAATTTTATTTTTAGACTTTTTAGTGTTAATCTTAGAAAACTAATACTGTATGGATATTTTACATATTTTTTTTATCTTACTGATAGTCTACATTGTTTATAGCCAATAATTTTTAATACTAATTTGAACATAGGAATCATTCTAAACTTATCTATTACTTAAAATCACTTATTATAGTTTATTGTACATTTCAATGTACAACAATTAAAAAATAAAATGATATTTTTTTATTCTTACATAATTCTTTATTTTCTAAATGATCATATCTTTCTCATTATTTTACAGTGTTTTAAAAATGATAGTGTTTTTAAAGTCTTCTTTCCATTCTAGACCTTATAATTTTTCTTCTTTTTTCTATTACTATACTTACTTACTATTSTATTGCAATGCTGAATTTTATAATTTTTACAAGAACAAATTTAAAATATTTTATGATTTTTATCTATGCCTATCTATCCATTTATTTATCTGTCTAGCTAGATAATATAAGTTCATTTTATCATCTTTACTATCATAATACAAATACTATTTGCATTGGAATCAGTTAACTTTATCACATTATTTCTGGATCTTGTTTGCTGAGAGTTTATGAATTTTACTTTTATTTTAACCTAGAGGAGTGTCAATATTATAAAGCTTAGTATTTGTGTTTATTGAAAAAGCTGATAAGTTTTCTTCTTTAATGTGTTATTTAAATAAATAATATCCATTGCTTTTTAATGGAAACCAAACATGCTAACCTGGATTAAATTTGTCCTTTTATTTGTCACTGGATTTGATTTCCTAATATTTTATCTGACATTGTGAAATCTTTAGGATGTCAACTATTAATTTTTCTTCCTTATAGAATCCTTGTCAAGTTGGTAAGAGTGAAATGACTGCTTCATACATTGACTTTATTAATACTTGCTATTTTTCTATGTTTATTGTTTGTTGTATGTTACAATTATTATTATTGATAATTACASATATTTTGTGGGTAACATTATGTTGACCTGAAATTTGGGGGACACAAATATTTTTAATTACTGGGCTTAGTTACAAAATAGCTACACTATTTAATTATCTATCTCTCCTGTAAYTAATTGTATTTCTAGCAATTTGTCTATTATACCTAAATATTAATATGTATAAACATAAATTTGCTCATAATATTATATTAAGGTTTTTAATAATGTTGCCAACACTTAAATTTGTTGCTTTTWAAAAATATTTTTCAATCTATTCCACCAAAAATTTCTCTTATTAAACATTT